TGTTTCTGGTTCTTTTAACCACTGGATCACCAGCTTGGAGTCACCTCCGACTACCAGCTGTTCACAATTCAACTCTTTGGCAAATTCAGCTCCTTGTATCACTGCTTTAATTTCTACTTTAACTGAATCCACTACTCCTATAGGTCCAGAGTATAAAGCAATGATTGGCCTGTCTGAATTTATGAACACTCCCCCAACACCAGAAGGACCCGGATTGCCTAAACTACTACCATCAAAGTTGAGCTTAATAGTACCCTCCTGAGGATGTTTCTAGAGGTGTAAATCGAGCCGTGCTGCCCGACACGATTTGTATGGGCTGATGGGCCGTGCCGGGCTTGGGGTTTCTGGTCAGCAGGCCGGGCTGGCACAGCCTGCACTGTCGTGCAGTGCCACGTGTGGCCTGTGGCCCGGCACAGCCCATATATATTTTATAAATATTTACATATATAATATATTATATAAATTATAATTAGTATATAATATATTAATAAAATAAGCACTTTTTTTACTTTTATTATACTATTTTATTTAATTATTGTATATATAAGCAATTGTATACATCAAAAATCATATAAAATTAAAATTTTAATTTTTTTTCAATTTTTTAAATAAATAACTTCGGCCTAGTCCACAGCCCTGACTGCCCAATTGCCCAAGGCTCGACCCACAGACCAGCCCGGCCCATGGACCAACATGGGCCCGTGCGGGCTCGGGCCGTGGTCTATGTCGGACCGACCCCCCAAAATATCTCAGGGGAGGCATGGCCTAGGACGACCCGCACTTTGCGCTAGCTAGATATTTCCACTCTGTTGATAGTTTAGGTCTCATTCTAGAACTTTTTGGCAAACACTTCCCAATTTCTCCATAAATCATTAAAGGAGAAAAGATACTGTAAGGATCTTGCCAAAATTCATCCATTGCTCCACACGGCCATTCATCCTACTTGGATAAGGGAAACAATAGGCTCCGCTATAGCTAGGTGCCTGGGCTCAATAAATGATTTAAAAGGCGCACCTCCTAGGAGCACAAGCGAGGCACATTTTAGGGTATGCGCCTCGCCCAAGTCCTAGACGCACGCCTAGTGCATTTAGATGTGCGCCTGATGCGCCTTGCGCCTCAGCCAAGGTGTGTGCCTTTTAAAATTTTGCGCTTTTTGCTTTTTTTGAGTCTAACAGTTGGGCCAAGGGCTCCGTCCCCAAACCCCCAACCACGCCCCTCGAGGCAAACCCAAACAAGTCTATGTTAGGGTCTGAAATTCTTATTCAGACCCTAACATAGACTTGTTTGGGCTTGCCTTGAGGGGCATTGTACAAAGGCGACTCATAGAATCAAGAATGCAATAAGTTTTACATCACATTAGCTACTAGAAGCAATGCAATTAAGGAAAATAAGAGATTGTGTGCTTTACATGCTTGAAAATGCTTTATATGTTTGCTTTGATTTTTAAATTTTCATTAGAATATGCTTTACATGTTATGTTTATGTATTTTAATTTTAGATAATAGGTTTCTTGAAACATTTATTTTAAAATTTAAGTTTATATTTTTTATTAACATTATGTTTAATATTTTTTGAATTTTTTGCATTTTTTTAATTTTTTGGCTTTTTTTTGACTTTTTTTATTTTTAGCTTTCTTTTGTAATTTAGTGCCTTGCTTAAAAAGGCACGCGCCTCACCTTGCGCCTTGCACCTCAGGCGCAAATTGGCCCTTGCGCCTTTAAAACACTAGGCCCACTGGGTCCAAAAGCCCAATTTGAGCATCAGAGAAATAGGTCTAGAGAGAGGAAGAAGAACAAGGAGTGCTAACACTTGCTACAATAAGGCCATCAATGGATTTCTCTTCCCTTGGGCCCACTTAATCTCAGAACCCCATGATAATAATAAAAGTTTGCCCGGCTTGAATGGGCCCACCTTGCAGCATGGGGCCCTTTATTTCCTTGAGCCTTGGCCAAATAGAACCACAGGAATCAAACATTAGGAATGCAGCAATGGGATTGGGTTTGGGTTTTAGAATTAGGCCCACAATAGTCAAAATCTGGTTGCACCTAGAAGTTACTAGGTACACTAACAGAAATAGGAACCACCTTTTGGGAAGTGGATTGGGTTTGGGTTTTAGAATTAGGCCCACAATACAAGCATCCTTCCTGATCCGCACAGCTAGTGAAAAGGGCAGCTGTTCAAAATTTGAACAGTGTGCCTATGAATCCAAAATGAAATGGAACCCATGTGGACAATTTGCAATTCGCTCACCAGGACATCTGTCGAAGATGGGCCAGCCACCAGCCCACCTCTCTCTGTGCCACTAAGATCAACGACCAGGGGTGGAGCTTGTCTCCTCCTTCTAGGATGATGCATGCGACATTTTTTCAAGCCTTCGTTGTGTTGAGTAATTGAGTTGAATAAGACTCCTGAAGAACTTGCTGAAAGTGATCAGAATTGGTATTCACCCCCATCTGAAATGGTCTCACAACAAGGGAGTCTCCAACCCAGCCCTCTCTGCTTTCTGAAGGAGAAACGAAACATGACCTGAGGAGAGGGCATCCCAACAGAGACGGACCTGGGAAGGGATGACGATCTGACATTCAGCATCTTCCACTGCTAGACACAGGAGATATCTACCCCCCCCCCTCCCCCTCCTAATCACTAGTATTTGGTAGAAAGTGAAGACCAGATGATGTTTACAGTCTCCCTAGGCCCTCCTTACATCTAAGAAAAATAGGTAAACTAGTATTCTCCTGTCAACATGGTAAGAAAGAAATACAAGGATCTTAATAATTCATACCATAAAAAATCCGTACATCATAACAAAATTGTGTTAATTTTGGCAAGGCATTAGTCTTGAGAAATGACACTAATATTAAAGAGGTAGATGCATAAGCATATTTATGTGGAATATTTGTTACTGCTGGAAGCTGCCTGACCTGAGGAGAAAGGGTAAGCTGATCTGAAGCACCATACCTATGGCTATTCTTGTGACCATTTGGTCTGAGAGAAACAGTCGCATTTTCTGTAACAAAGCAAAAAACATAGATGATTTGATACAGATATCTGCATGTAATCTTGCATCTTGGTGGTCAGTTATATCTGAATTTAAGCATCAAAATGTATTTCAGATGCTTTACTCTCAGTCTGTTTGGAGTCTGTAATGAGGTTCCCTTCTTTCTCTGGTGAGGTATACCAGGAAGTTGTTGTAACGTTTTCTCTTCTTTAACCAATAAATTCTTTCCTTACCTTCCAAAAATATCAGGATTTTAGTTAATGGAAAATCATATCCCTGTACAGGTATCCGACAAGACTAGAAAAGGTGTCAGATATGGAATTTACATTTAACATTAGATGCATATGGCATGATATGTCACATTTGTACAGGTATCCATGTATAGTCGATTTTGAACAAAGCACACCAAGAGAGAGAGAGATGAAAACTTCTGTTTGAAGAAGTTGATTCTTTGTTGGACATTGCTCATGGACTGCTATGTAAACCAGAAAAGCCAACCTAGATGGGGCAGCAGAATCCTACACCATAGAATGGGGAAAGTCCCATGAATCTACACAATAGAAAGAACAAATACAAAACCAATCTTAGGAGCCCTCTTCATTTGGGATAAGATAGCAAAACTATAATTTGGTAATAAGAGAGGAAAATGATTTTGACTTCCTAGGCTCCTAGCCATTCAGATTTCTTGGAATTGGGGATTCCACTTCCACACTATGCATTAAGAGATGACTTCGCAATATTCTTACACCTTTGCCTCTCTATCCTCCACAAAAAAAGGAGATGGATACAGCTCCACCAGAAGTTTATAATCACACCACAATTAACACCAAAATTTGATCCTCAAAGCATCCCCAACCTTGTATTTGATATCGATGCCTTTGAAAAATTCCAAGCAGGCATTTTGAATTCCCCTCATCCCCTCCATATGAAATAGCCATATAAGGAATTTATTGTGACTTTGTTATTGATCAAAAAATAGCCATATAAGGAATTTATCCACCCTGGGTCTCAACTTCCTTCCCTTGGGCCATTTTTGCCAATTATAACTTTCTGCCACAAGGCTTTGGATGCAGAATTAAGGTGCCACCACTATTTGCTGAAAAGTGAAATGTTTACCACACTATGGTGTCTGATTCCCAAACCCTCACATGCCACCATGGAATGAACTTTTTTCCAGTCCACCAAATGGTATTTAAATTCATCTTTCAGTCCGTCCAAAGAAACTTGCGCTGAAATATCTCAATTCTTGTGGCTTTACTCATCAATAAGGGGAAAGGGAGACAAAATAATTAGGAAGACAGGCCAAGACAATTTCGATTGGAATGATATTACCACATTTTGATAAGTATGAGCTTTCCATGAGGCTATACTTCTATCAATCCTTTCCAGAATAATATCATAAATGAATACAAATTACCTGTATTGATAAAAAAAAAACATTTTCCTATAAGAGCTGAATTTACATCCTTGATGGGCCAGATAGCAATCCCACCTTCTCTTTAAAAGTTCAAAACAGTTTCTAAAGCTATTAGACGGTATTTTACAGTAGTGCTGTCAATTTAAATGATGCCTGAATCACCATAAAAAGGTTTTAGGTATCTCTTATAGTCCCACATTAAATTCCGATTAATTTCCAACTTTAAAATATTATTGCAAATTAAACAGAATTAGGATCGCCAAAACAAAATATAGGATAATAACCCAAATACCATTTCACCTCAAACTTCCGATTCTAATGTATCATATTATTACAAATTCTTATTTATTTAACTTCCAAGTCTTGGATGAAAAATACTGAGAAAACGGAAAAATGACAAAGTCGGAGCCCAAGATTCTACCGCCAACCAGAGAAGAAGAAGAAGTTGAAGGGAAAAATGCCCCTATCTTCGACGAGAAACAGCCAACCAGGTAAGAAGAAAAGGAAGATGAGGGAGAACCGCCCCTGTTTTCAGCGCATAATGGCCGACTAAGAAGAAGAAGAGGGGGAGGAGGAGGGACGTACCTTATCCCACCGACGCCGCCAACCTCCGGTAGCAGCAGAACAACCGCACGAACAAATCAGACTTGAATGCAGCAGGCTAGGGTTTCAAATGGTAAGATAATATTGAAAAGAAAAAATGTTAAAAAGTATAAACCTTTATTGGTTTTTTGGAGATCGGACAGGAGTGATTGAATGACAATATGGCATGGCCTTTCATTCAAGGCTTCAGACTTCACCTTTCAGTCTCTCCACACGTGCTTGTGGCTTATATCCCGCACATCCGTGCCGATATTTGCCTTGGCTTCACGTCCAGACCACCATCCCTCGTTCTATTTATTTTGGTCTCTTCGCACTCTATTCATAACAAACCGTAAATTTCCAAAGAAACAAGGAAACCATGCACATTTATTATTCTCTTCTCACTATACTTCATATCTAAGGCTGCGTTTGAACCGATGTAAAACATTATAGGTGTAAAAGTATATTGACATCAGACAATTAACTTTTAATTGTTTGAATTTCAAAATGTGTGTATGAGAAAAGCGGAAATCCATATAAAACTCCATTACATCCAAACATATATAAAACTGAATCGGAGTGGAGTTTTAAATCACACTACTTCTAAATGCAAATAAAATTAAACCAATATAAATATTTACATGTAGACATGTGAATTTTTTAAGCCAAACAAATGGGCTTAATTTTACATGATAACCTCTAAATAATATGGGCCTCCATGGGCCCAAGGCCCAAGACTACATAAATATGTCTTGATGGCCTAAAGATCCAAGTGTATTAAGCCCAATCTGGCCCATCTCCTATTGTAATAGGTTGGCCTATTGGCAAAACCACTAACTCCTACATAATAGTGTATATATAGGATTTAATGCTAACCCAACACCCCACTCACATGGGATTGGTTAGCTAAGTGGGTTGATGTGGCAGCCTTAACCCTTGGCTATAAATAGCTTTGCATAGGAAGAAAGATGGCCTTTTTTCTTCCTTTTGAGAGAATCACACTACAAGATACTCTCAGACACCAATATTAAAGATTGCAAATAATCACAAGCTCCTGCAACCTCCAGCAACTACAAGATCCAGAGAGAAGAAAGAAGGGAAAAGCTTCTTCGTTCTCTACAGCACACTTGGATTTAAACTCTCCAAAGAATATCAAGCCACCACAAAAGGGCCCTTCTTAGAGAAGCATCCTTCACAACCGATCAAGCGTGAAGCCCGGAGTGAAGAAATCTACACCAAATCTCCCAAAGCACCAAAATCAAGGAAATCTACATCAACACTTCAAAAAGTACGAGAAACACACCAACGGCCCTCGTCTTCACCAAATTTGACCATTAATCAGAGGTTGTTCACATCATCAAGCGGAAATCAAAGAGAGTTCATTCCCTTGTTTGTTTTCTTTATTACAAATTTATTTTGTAATTTGTCTCCATATTTTGTGCTAAACAAATACATGAAATTTGTATCGACAAATTTTTGGCACGCCCGGTGGGACACTCTTTTCCTCTCATCTTTCGAGTCAACATCTGCAACAATCATTCAATGGCTACCAAGAAAGCTACAACTTCCTTCCACAAGTCCTCTGGCACTTTTGGTTCTTCCTACAACCGTCCTGTCACACATGCCATGGCGAAGTCCAACAAAGCGCAGCTACCATCTCCAATGGAGCTTCCTACACAGAAAATCACCAAGGCGACTACTCTACAGAAGGAAAGCCTCTTCAACTCTCCAAACATTAATGTGAAAGGAAAGAAAAACTTTCTCTCGGATGACCAATCTAGCACTATGTTGAGGACGGAGTCTTACTCCTCTCCATCACACAACTCCTACTCTGCTTCTAGTGGCGTTATACTAGTGATGATGACAGAAGTCGCGATAATGGAAGAACTACTCCAAAAGATGGTTGAAACCATTGACAACCTCAAGAGCTCCAACACTGAGAAGGATCTCCAAATTGCCTTCCTGATGAACAAATTGGAGATACAAAACCGCTAAGCAAAGTCCAGTCAAGGACCTTCTCACCCTCTAGGATTCACTCCTCCAATGACTCCTAACCTCCAAGAGCAGCAGAAGCAGCAACAAGAGGAGCATGATCGGGTCACAGTGCAAAACATGATGCAAGACACCACCCAAGTTTCTATCGCTTCTTTGATGGTGCAACAACTCTAGTACATGATCGCTAACACCATAAGGGCTCAATATGGAGGAGTTCCACAGACCTCTCTAGTGTATGCCAAACCATACACTCGCCGCATTGATGAGATGTGCATGCTAGTCGGCTACCAACCTCCTAAGTTCTAGCAGTTCGACGAGAAGGGAAATCCGAAGCAGCATATACCCACTTCATTGAGACTTGCAACAATGCGGTAACCTACAGCGACCAAATGGTGAAATAGTTTGTTCGCACCCTCAAGTCTACAGCGTTTGATTGGTACACCGACCTCCAGCCCAGCTCCATCGACAGTTGGGACCAACTTGAGAGAAAATTCCTCACTCGCTTCTACTGTACACGGCAAACTGTGGGACTTCCAGAACTCTCTACTATAAGGCAAAGAAAGGATGAGTCCGTCATTGACTACATTGAGCGGTGGAGGAACCTCGCCCTTCAATGCAAGGAACAAATCAGCCAATCATCTGTCATAGACATATGCGTCCAAGGGATGCATTGGGGACTACTCTATAGCCTCGAATGGAACATGCCCACCACCTTTGAAGAGTTAGCTACTCGAGCTCATGATTTGGAGATTTGGATAGGCAAGCATGGGAATCCCCAACTAAGTGATCCACGTGAAAAAAAATGATGAAAAGAAAGAAGTCAAAAAGGACCTTAAGACCTCTTCCTCCAAAGGAAAAGAAGTCATGAATACTACCACTACACCAATTAAGATCTTTGGCAAGAAGAAGAAGATGGAGATCAAAGTGAAGTCTTTTGCAAATCAAGGCCAAGAAAAGTCTAGGCCTACTCTGAAGGAACTAGAAGAGAAGGAGTATCCATTCCCTGACTCCAACATTCTAGAAATGCTCAACTAGCTACTCCAATCAAAGTTGATTGAGCTTCCACCGCCCAAGCGACTTGAAGAGCAAGGACGTATGACCGACCCCAAGTATTGCCAGTACCATCGGATGATAAGTCATCAAACTGAAAAGTGTTTTGTCCTCAGGACAAAATACTTTGTCTTGCAGAACAAGGAAAGATCGAGTTAGATCTTGGTGATAATTTTGCTGCTACAATGTCACTATGGTGACTTTTGGGTCTTTTGACATCACACCTCTACAACCCTCTATAGGTTCTTCCTCCTCTACTCAAGCTACAGTGAGCGTCCAAACCTCAAGGAACTTTGCACCTGGCAAAAGGGAAGTCAACACCACAGCACAACTCAATGGATTCTCCTCAAATTATGGAGACTAGGGGCAAAGTGACTGGACCCCAACTCAATGGATTTTCCTACGGTGTCCCTCCCACAAGGGGCAGTTCCTGTCCAGTTTATTATTAATCAAAAGGTGACCACAGTTTATGCCTATCCTGACATGCCAATGTTTAACAATCCCGACATTCCAACTCTCTATGAGCTAATGACTGATGACTTGGACTACTGAGAAGAGTCGTCTATTTCGAAAAATGAGATAGAAGATGGGTGGTCCACCTTCACCAGCAAGAAACCTAAGGAGAAGGTACAACACCAACCCAAAGGAAACATTTCAAATGGGAGCAAGACTATCTCTATCTACTCTAGTAACTCAAAAACATTTCCTCAAGACAAGATCAGATGGACTGTCATCTCTCGACGTAAGAACAAGGCTCATCGTCTCGTCATCCCTGCGTCAACTAGACCAAAGTGGACTAAAAGATGGTGAGTACACAACGCCTCTAAGAAGAAGAAAGCACCTCAGGTACCACCAGCTAGTAAGGAGGAAGTGCTTCAATAGCTTCATCCAACTCTAGTAACCCTTTGGGAGTTCATGCCAAGAGAACTTTTCCCAGAGGAATGTGTAGCGACATACATGGTGATAATTGACGAAGAGGAAACATCACCATCAGTAGAAGAGGCTTCATTCGACGAGGACGAAGACATGACAAGGCTTATTCAAGAGCACCCCATGTGTGATGAAGAAGTAGCAAAGCAACTGGAGGAAGTGCCATCCCACTTGAGCCTTACCCAAGCGCTACAACTACCGCAGAAGGTTCACTTTGCAATGGCAAAGACCCTGATCCTCCCCAACAAGTACCAAAGCAAAGTACTAAAAGAGGACAACTGCACAGATTGCATGTCGACAATTACCTTCATAGATGAGGATTTACAACTTGGATCATGTCCACATAACAAACCCTTGTATGTTGCTGGATATGTTCGTGAACAGAAGATATCATGCATCCTCATTGATTGTGGATCTACGGTCAACATCATGCTAGTGTCCACTATGAAACAACTTGAGATTGACAATGATGAATTGGTAAAGAGCAAGTTGACAATCCAATGCTTTAATCAAAAGGAACAATGTGTCATGGGCATGGTGCATCTCAAGATATAAATAGGGGACTTAAACATCTTTGGCCCTTCTACATGTCATCGATGCCAAGACATCCTACCAACTACTTTTGGGACGTCCTTGGTTGCATGAGATAGGAGTGGTTCCTTTAACGTGGCACCAATGCTTCAAATATTATTGTAAGGGAACAAAAAGGAAAGTAGTCGCTGAGCTAGAGCCTTTCAACAAAGTTGAAGCACATTTTGTTGACACAAAGTTCTATGTTGACAAGGTCATTTCAGAAGCTCTTCCTGTCTCTATGCCGAAATCTTACACAATGAAAGTTTAGAAGGAAAAGGAAGACACAACACATGAAGAAGAAAATGCATCTTCAAGTGGTGACAAGAATCATCTACAAAATCAACATGCATATGCTACCTTGCCAACAACTCTACCATCGACTTCCTCTTCTTGTAATCAATCAGCCCCCTTGCTTCGTTACACACCAAAGTCGAGGAAAAGGGAAGGACAACTACCTTTTAAGGTAATGGCTGCACCAAACACTATACCAATATCAAATAGCGACATTGAAGTTCTCGAGAAGGATCTTATGCTTCCAATCTCCACAACATCGAAGCCATCGATATCTAAACCGCATCTAAACGGATTTGTTCGAGCTTCATCAACCAGTAAAGTAGGGCAATATCAAGAAGGGTGGTTTGAC